AGAGGAAGAATAAACGGTTAATTAGAGTTAAGCTTCGTGCCTCCACTCGGCTACCATGCCCAACGTAAGCTAATCCCCGATATGGCATTTTCTTTCCTGTCTTCCTTCAGTCTTCCTATTCTCTTCAGTCTTCCTTTAGCGTATCCCCGTGCGTTACCGTATGTGGTCTGTTGTCTATAAAAGCTGCTGAGCATTTCTGTTTCCAATTATTAATATGGAATATGGAATATGTTTCCATAAATTAATTTTTATTACATAAGTATCCAGGTGTGTACCTGAGGAAGAATAAAAGGTTAATTAGAGTTAAGCACCGTGCCTCCACTCGGCTACCTATTACAATTCAACGACTACAGTATAAACAAAAGCGCAATAACAACAACAACTTTACACGGTCCTTGGTGCCCTGGAAGTGACACAACTGCTCAGCGGCTTGTCGTTCACAATCACAGATTCAATGGCGTTATCAGGACTGGTCTAGGACACTACAGTGCATTTCAAAAATACAGTCGCGTGATTTCAAAAAAAAAGTTAGGCCAGCATCTATACCACATAAAATCTGTGATCACTTTTGTTTGTTTGTTTATTTAGAGTCGAAGAACAAACAGGCAAATTTGTCTAATTACATGATATCGACTAAAAAGGAGAATAAATTATAAAAGGCCAATGAAGGTAATGACACTGAGTAGAGTGGGTAGTAAAGTATTACGTTGTAAAAGCCAGTTAGGCCAGTAAAGGAAATAATAATACAGCGGGCAGAGGCATTACTGAAAAGCAGCATGTGCTGGGAGGGATCGCATGAATCGGTGGTACTGTGGGATTTCCCTGATGTCGGGCTGGAGCCTGTTTGACAGTGATACACATTGGAATGAGGCAGAATGTGTGCCAGCGGATGTCTTAGTGACTGGAAATTTAAGTGCTCGATTTCCCTGACTACGTGTATCACTTTGTATATTAAAATTTCGAAATGGAGCGTTTGCTATCCGATCGCTCAAAAATCTATATGAGAGCAATTTCGGAAAAGCACTGAGCAATATTCCGGCAAAATTCTCAAAAAGCTCCAGCCAAATTAATTTTGAAATATTTCAAAAACACCATTCGTCTATATTATTTTGTGAAATGGACTGCAGTTCTGTACGTTTTGTCAGATTTCACGGAACGCAACAGGATTTTGAAGAGCATAAGAGAGAATATTGGCACTACCTGTCATGCATCAGTGTCCACCAAATACACATCACACCTTTCGATCCGTTGCATAATTTTCATAACGTGTACTAAGACGTTCCCTGCAAAAAAACTTGATACCGCTACGCTAATCTCCCAATAGTCAAATGAATTATGACTGGTAACTTTGAGTTTGGAAAGGTCTATATGAGTGCTCAACATCACAGAGGAAAGTTCAACTCACAAGAATTGAAGATTTACAAGGTTGTCAAAGACATTATGCGGTATCATAGAGATTCGGTTATTATGAAGCCACCTGCATAAACAGAACATGAATATAATGCTGTTGTCAAATACATTATGAGGTGTCGTTGCAAGTCGGTGTCCAGCTAAACTCCCGCAAAAACAGAACATGACTTTAGTATGACAACGACGAACACAAGGAGGAGGAGAACACCGCCCCCGACGACGACACGAACACGACCAACAACGACAATACGTTTAAAAAGCTATGAATATAATCAACTACAAACTCATTACTCCGATACACAATGCACACTTTTTTTGCTCACATTGTGACATTCCATTTCTTGATTGCGGCAGAGGTACAGTCGAACCTGTCATTGTAGAAGCCACCTAGATCTAGGTCATCCAAATACCGGCATATGTCCTTGTTATCCATGTTATCCAAGGTTATGGAGAGCTTTGTCAACAAACATGTCACCAATTTCTTGGAGCGCAATCACCAGCTGACCACCAGTTTGGTTTAAGACGGGGCCGGGGCACAGCTGGTATGACTTTGGCCATATTTCAGCATTGTCGAGTGGAAAAATTGAAAAAGTTCATTTCAGCGCTAGAAGAGATGTTCTACTATCTGCCGGTGTATAGTAACTGTTACTTGCCAATTGAGGACGTAGCTGGCTGTTCTGCCACTGCTTATAAATTGGCAATTTTCCAGACGATCATTTGTGGCATCAGGGGGTGATGGCCCTGGTCTTTTGGGATCCTGGCTTGGCTAAGCGGTACTACTATTCTAAGGTGAGGCAATGTTGGCTTGATGGAGATTTGTTCGTAGATTGTTCGTATACGCTGTGGCGTGACTCGCTTGTAGACCCATAAACTATGTGATAGTTCGGCCATTTTGAGGGGTACAGTCCACTTTGGGTATAACGACACTCGGCGGGGTATCAAAAAAGTGACCTTATTCACGAAGTGTCGTAATACGCGAAGTATCATTATGTAGACAGGTAGAATGGACTTTGCTCTGGGCATGGAAACTGTGGTTATTCGCGAGTTGTCGTTATATCCGGAGTCGATATTAGCGAAGTCCACTGTATGCAAGTTCAGGGCTCACAGTAGGCATGGAGGATTGACAAAAGCGTCGTTCTGGCACGTGCCGCGCGCCTCAGTGCACGTGACGCAGAGAGGGCTACTGAGTCAGTACCGTGGTGGTCACTACATGTGCAGTGCTGAGAGTGCTGTGACTAGATCACGAACCAGTACACAGTACTTGAAGATGGTGTGCACTCATCCGCGCACTGCAATACCAATGCCCGAGCAATGGTTTGTTTGGTGGTTTTTACTCTTTGTACCGTCTTGCCGATCACTGTATTGATGTCGATATTTCCCTTGCGTGGTGCAGCAGCCATTGCCAGCGGAGTACAACGATAGATGATGAAACCTAACATCTTTCCTTCCCTCAAGCATTCCCTTGCATTACCTTCCCTACCATCTCAATCTTGTGCTGGCTCCAGTGCAAGTGGGAGTGCAATGGTTATTTCTGGTCACGGTGTTTTGTGGTTTTTACTGTTTGTACCGTCTTGCCAATCAGTCTTGATGTCGATGTTTCCCTTGCATGGTGCAGTAGCCTTTGCCAGCCAGGCATTGGCATTCCCTAGCTTGTATAATCTTCCCTGCCATCTCGATCTTGTGCTGAAATGCAGGCTCCAGTGGGAATAGTTTGCCAGTAGGGACCTTTCGCATTTGCTATGAATCGAATGCGAAACGAAAGTTTGATTCGGCTCGTAATCGTTTCGTTGAAAATAGATTCAGGTTTCGCGAGTCGTCATGCAAATGTGCATGGCAACTACGAAGACGGCGGTACAGGTGTTTACACGCACACGTGCATAGATCATGGAATCAAGGGAAAAAAGGTGTACCTGTCAAAACATGTGCACCTGGCCAAATAAATGTGTACCTGCCGGATTCGGAGCGCGAATAGGCTTCCATTCGTGAAAACGAGCTCTCCGCAGAGAATCTGACGAATCCTCGATCCCAGGTGGCGAATCAGCATTCGTTTCTTATCAGTACGCGTGTTGCGAAAGGTGCCGTGTGGTCGTTCGTTCCTGACACTTACGAGAACCAGAGGGTTCATAACAACCTTCCTCCTTCTTCCTACATGGTCACCTCTATCTTAACGACATTATCACATTCGCTTCCATGACATGCAATTGGGCTTGAAGCCAGTTTGTAAAATAAAAATATATACATATACATACATGAACTCCAGAGAGGATTGGTGCAGGTTGTAGCTGAGGGGGAGGGGGGGGGGGGAGGCTATGAGTTCTGGTAGTGGCAATCGATATTTCCGGTCCGTTTGACTGCGTCTCTCACGCCGGCCTCCTCAACAAGGCAGAGCAAGTAGGTACCGGTATCAGGAAGAATCTTCCCTCTGGTCTACGCGACTACCTGAGTACTGTATTTTTGACTAAAACTAGAAGAAGAAAAGGTGTGGTCGACTTACAACCAGGATTCGACTTATAACCGAGAACGATCAGTATCTTACAAACAAATGTGCACATTTTTGCCAGTTTATTGGCCTTTTCAAGGATTTGGACGTTATACCTTCCAATAAGGAATGTTTACATGATTTGTTGGTGTGTTAGTAGCAGGGAGTGGTAAGTAATAGTAGTGCTTCTTTAGGTGAAATCTTTAAAAATCAGAATTGAGACCTCTGGATAAGTGGGTCACCCTATAACCGGGGTCGCCTTACAACTGGTAAAACACGGCAACCGCTGCGTAAAGGTGGTAACTGGAAGCAACGCTTCCAACAAGTACCAATTACTGCTGGAGTGCCCCAATGCAGCGTCCTGGGGCCCACATTCTTCATATTGTTTTCTGCTGACATCAACCAACGCCTCTCGTATGGCGTTGAGGGCCTCTCAGCTCAGTCGACTTTTCAGGTACTAGTGAACTGAATTGCTAACCAACATTGGGATGGAGCGGGCTGGCAAGTGAACGTTTGCAACATAAAAGGCTGAAAGAAAAGCGACAATAGTGATGACCCAGACCAATCTGTCCCCTTGGAAAAACGCGATTCCGCGGCCAAGGCAAATTTCGCAGAAGTTTCCATCATCCGCGGAAATCACGGAATCCACATTTTTGCCCGCGGAATCTGAATTTTTAGGGTAAGTTACTAAAATTACTACTCAGAAAGCAGCAGAAAAACTACTTGTAATTTGCGATCTGTTTGAGCACATTTCTTTTGCCAGTGCAAGTCTCTCCAAGATTCTTCACTCTCATTCAGTTTGTGACTGCAAAGGATAGTATGAAAAGTGCTCCTTCATGCGAGTAGTTGTCATATCCTCTACGAGGAGGGTGAAAAACCTGCAGAAAGTGCCGCAGATTTTTGATTTTACCGCAGAAAATGCCGCCGAAAACCTCCCTTTTCCCCGCGGAATTTGCCGCGGAATTTTGAATTCTTGGCCATGTTTTTCCAAAGGGACAGACCAATTAGAGCAAAAATTGCTGAAGAGAACGGTCGCAGAAGACCAATTCACACTCCCACGGATTGCTTAGCACAAAATTTGCGTCCGAGTCTCACAGAATAGCTGAACTCACAGTGAGTTAAGGTTTATTAGTTTGTCAAACACATTATCAGGAAGGGTCGTGAGTTGATTGAATGATAAGGACCTGCATAAACAGACCATAAAATGTGCAGAAACATTACATGGCAATCAACGGTAAAGTAAAGCTATTTTAGGTCAAATTGATACATTGGAGCTCATTGTCTGCTACTTCGTAGGTTAAGATTGTGTGGGTGCCATGGGGTGGGCTTCCTACCTGGCTATGGAGTTTCACAGGAATCATGAGTTTTGAATCCTGATGCAACAGTCTTCGGTCAAAACCGATCTAGAGTGCTTATTTGGCGCTCTCAATTTGCACAGCCCTTGCCACATTGGAAGTGACACAAATGCGTCATCATCATCACTATCGTCATCATCTGCGTTGCCGAAAAAATAATAATAACGAGAGAGCTTGGAAGCTCAGGGCCCCACACTATGCTTTTTTGCCTTGATGACCTAGACAAAAAAAGCATAGGGATGTTATAAATTCATATAAATTGTTCCTTCTTTTTAAAGACATAACCTGGGATTCGGACCCCCACTATCGCCCTGCATGCATCCCCAGACACACTTCGCATACATACTAATTCTTCCAAGTTGCTTCACGTTATGATCTTGCATTTGAAAGCCCTATTTGAATATGCATTGTGGCCAGCCGCCTCTGATGGCACGGTACGGTACGGGACAGGTACGGTCGAGGGTAATTCGACACCGTCTACCGCCTTGATGACCTAGGCAAAAAAAAGCATAGGGATGTTATAATTTTTTCAATTCTCATATTTTTTAAGCATAACCTGGGATTCGAACCCGCACTATCGCCCTACATGCATTCCCCCATACACTTCGCTTTCATACCCATTCTTCCAAGTTGCTTCACGTTTTGATCTTGCGTTTGAAAGCCCTATTTGAATATTGCGGGCAGCTGTATGTGGCCAGCTGTGTTTGATGGTAAGGTACGGTACTGGACACATACGGGATAGGGACAGGTGTGACACAAACACACAAACAAACAAACACACAAACCCCAAATTACAGCTGTGTGGACCCTGGCTAGCGCCAGACGTTACTGAAGTAACGTCTTCTGCATAGCTAAGGGAATAAAATAGTCTCTTTCCCTCAAACGAGTTAATAAAAATAAAAAACGGCATTATGCAGCTGTGTTAGCAGTAGATGCACAGTGTGACTGCCAGGCATCTCTGTCAGATGCCAACTGGCAATTCTCATGCAGAGACATACCAGTCCACGAAACTGGTAAATGCGTCAGGACGTACACACATCCAAACCAGGCAAAAACCATCACGCAGCGAAAGGGCGACCTCTCGTCAGTTTAATACGGAAAAAATAAAAATAAACATTTTCTTGCCATGCTCATCTTGCAAACTCCATATTTTAGTCTTTTATCCAGAAAATGGCTGCTGCTTCGCCAACTTGCTGGATTTGATTGAGCAAGGTTGGTCATTCTTTGACTGCTGTGATAAAAACATCTACGAGTTTAAGAGTGCTGAAGATACCCATGAAGCAGCCATCTGTCGAAGGCTCGCAGCAAGTGGCTTATCCAGTCGTGGATGGTGGTCCACTGTCAAGCGTACCAGTGGGTGAGATCCACAAAGCCCAGCAGTACGGTGTATCCGGCATGCTTTTTGCATGGTTGAAGGACTACCTGCTGGGCAGGTGCCTGAGTGTCATTGTTGGTGGGCAGTCGTCCAGCCCACACCGCATCACAGCCCGAGTTCCTCAAGGTAGCTTGTTGGGACCGACACTGTTCCTCCTCTACACGAAAGATGCTGATGACCACCTTCTACCAGGTGTACATCTGGCCGCTTACGCTGACAACACAACGCTGTTTCAGTGCCTATCAACCATGGATACCATTGACCACAGCTCAGCAGTCCTGCAAAATGCCCTCTATGCCCTTGTAAATCGGGGCACCAGGTTGAGAATTGCGTTCGAGCCAGCAAAGTCCCAGGCTTTCACTATTGACCATCACCGCCCCGCCTCGGACCTCCCAGCAGTACAGTTTGCGGGTGTCCCCCTCAATGGAGAGAGTAACCCCAAGCTAGGTTCTTGGGCTGACTCTCTCGTCCGTCTTGAAAAGCATAACTACCAGCTTGAGACAGGGCTATCTGTCAACAGCCGAGAAAGTTGCCGCAGAGTCTTCCCTGCCTGTGCTGTCCCTGTGTGGAATGCCCCACCACCCGCCGTCCTCAGCCAGCCACCTGACCGGAAGCGGCTGCAAAGTTTCAAAGGGTCTGTCTTCCGGCACCTCCATGCTCAGCAATGGCACTAGCCCACTGACACTGTACATCTGCACACATGCCCACACACTGCTGCATATTGCCATGCTTATCCTTTTCTCTGGATCTGACTGTGCACCCCTTACGCATTATATAAGAGTATACATGTACTATATTTAGTTCTCTCGTACTAACTTGCTTACTAACCCTCCCCCGCTCTTACTCTCTCTCTCTCTCTCTATCTCTCTCTCTCTCTTTCTCCCCTCTCTCCCCTGTCTCTCTCCCCCCCTCTCTCTCCCCCTCTCTCTCATTCTCTCTCTGTCTGTCTGTCTCTGTCTCTGTCTGTCTGTCTGTCTGTCTCTGTCTCTGTCTCTGTCTCTGTCTGTCTGTCTCCGTCTGTATCTGTGTGTCCCTGTCTGTCTCTGTCTGTCTGCCTCTTTCTGTCTGTCTCTCTCTGTCTGTCTGTCTCTCTCTGTCTCTGTCTGTCTCTGTCTGCCTCTGTCTGTCTGTCTGTCTGTCTCTGCCTGTCTGTCTGTCTGCCTCTCTCTAACAGACACATCCGTCCGGTGATCAGTGAACGGAATGAACGGAATCCTGAGAAGGCGTCAATAGCTTCTCATTTTCTTTTTCACAATTTCAGCAGTTAAGGTCCAAGACTGGCAAGCATTAAGGACTATGGATAAAACAATAGCATTGAGTAGACGTAATTTCGAGCCGATACCGATGTTTTTATCCCTCCAGATTGTTACAAGTCGTGCAACAGCAGCCGAGGCTGCTGCAATCCGACTCCTCACTTCTTTGATTGAACCCTGATCATCAGTAATCGTGCTAATAATAATAATACTAATAATAATAGAACAGTTCGCGTACAAGGCAGCAAATGCTAACCTTTCCGCTTCTGTCTCTTTTGAGCTCTGCTACATGTGATGGTTGTGAAAAAAGGAAAAGAAAAACACCCGAAAGAAATGAAAGTGCACAACCGGATAGAGGTGTGTATGGAAATGGGTGTATGTAAGTACGCGCAAGCGTGTGCTGGTGTGCGTGCGGAGAAGTGTGAGGGCGCGTGTGGGAAACGGAGTGCAAGCACTAATAGCCAGTGTACGGATGTTAAATCTGATCCACAGTACTACGGCCTGCTCGAAACCTGGCCTGCTCCTCGCTCAGTAGGTCTTCGATGCAAGGTGTCAGACGGTTGAGTAGAACACGCAACATTACTTTACTAGGGTGACTTATCAACAACTTTCAGGTGGCCTTTCTTTGGCAGTGGATTCATGGTTGACCGGAACCATTGCCGTGGCCACATGCAGGACGACCATATCCTGTTACAGATCGTTGTCAGTATGTCAATGACGAAATCGCCACCCTCTTTGAGTAACTCTCCTGGGATCATGTCATCGCCGGGCGACTTGCCTGCCTTCAAGTTTTCTACAGCAGGAGCTACCTTCACCTTGAGCATTGATAGATTTCTGTCATCATCATTGAGTGGCATTTCTAGATCTAGATCATCCAGTACCTCCATGGCAGGGTTGATGTTGTAGGTAGACAGGTTTGTTTGGCTTTAGTTAGAGTGGAGTTCCAAAACAGGCCTAAACCTAATGACAATGGTCCTACTGATAATAAGAGAAAAGAAAAAATATTAAAAAATAAGCGGACAAACAGAACAGCGAAGAATATTAGGTAGATAACTAATATGAGCACGGCAGCAGGGAAACAAATGTCACAAGCACGGCAACCGGGAAGAAAGGAGTGAGTGAGTGAGAGAGAGAGAGAAAGAGTATGAGAGAGAGAGAGAGGTGTTGGAGCAGATGAGTTCATCCTAGTTGATGGTTACTGCCTAACAGAAAGGCCAGGCTTAGCCATTTGCAAGTGGAGCGCTTTCTTTCGAGGCGTGCTGTGTCTGGGAGCTGGTTCCACAGGATAGCTCCAGCATGGCTAATGCGCTTAGCTGAGGATGCAGTGGTGGACACAGGAACGATGAGTTACTTGCTGCTCCCTCCTCGTGTTCAGAGAGAGGGACGACTGGTGAAAAAGCTTGCAAACAGAGTACTTGAAAAATTGTTCAGGCAGCGCCAAATGAATACAAGAATGTGCATGTGGGTGTATATGCTGAGGGTATGGGCGTTCATGTGTTTAAGTAAGGGAGCCGTGTGAGTGCCAGAGGCTGCCCTGCACACCGAGCGAGCCCCACGTTTGAACAAATCATTTAGGCGCTTATCCTGATAAGACGATAAGAACGGGGCATAGGCAGCAGATGCATAGTCAAATTCTGATAATAGAAAGGACATGAAAAACTGAACACGGCAAGAAAAAGGCAAACATGCTGCACTTCAATTTAGTAGCCCAATCTTGGCGGCAATGCGGCGTGCAACATGGCTTGTCATGGTGTTCCAGCTCATATCTGAGTCGAAATGTAGGCCAAGATACTTGGCCGTTTTCACAACAGGCAGAGTCCGCCCATTACAAATGAAATGCAGCTCAAGTGCATGAGATGGGGATGGGGGAATAGGCAATATCTGTGTCTTTCTTTCATTAAGAATTAAACCTCGGCCCTTCTGCCAGGTGGCCAGGTGCTGAACAGCAGCTGAAAGGTGTGCAGAAACAGCTTTCGGACACAGGTCGGAGCAATACTCCGCCCAGCGATCGGCTTCTTTCTGGCTTTCCGTAAGTAGCTCTCCACCCTTGTTCTCAATGACAACGCCGCTCGCGGCCCATAGCAGACAAAATAATTCCATTCGCAGTCGTGTCCGGAGGCAATCTTTGTGATCAAACCGCTCAAGTTGCAGATTAGTTCCTGGAAAGTATTTCTAGGGATTTTATTGTATTATATCGCGTC